GTGTGTGTGTGTGTGTGTGTGTGTTTGTGTGTGTGTGTGTGTGTGTGTGTGTATCCAATGCCTACCTCTAAGGGGGTCAGCGATGAAGTTCTGCTTGTTGGAGATAATTGGCGCAGGCTGCCGTTCGTCCTAATACTGTCTGTAGAATTCGTCCGAGACCGTCCGCTTAGAGATCCGATGTCGTCATCGGTACCTGTCGAGATATTAGAGTTGGTGTTTTCCGTAGTTGGTCTTAGTAATTTAAAGTTGAGATGTTCTTCTATTCTGTGGACTATTGGTCATATAATAGTATAAATGTAGTTGGGTTGGCTAAACGGAGACTCTATCTTCAAGCGAATATAATCACCAACTGTACTAGACATGCCCTTATAATTTGTGTGAAGATATTTTAGGTTTAAATCCATATATGTACACGTCAGATTTGACTACGAAACTTATGGCTAATTATATTTATAGAATTATGACTCTTGTAAAACATGCTAATCACAAAGGTGTGTCATTGTACTTAACATACACGCATCTATGTGCGCATACATACCTCCAGGTGCTTGTATACTGCTGTAATCCACCTCTGCGTGTTGAATTGCTATGGAACCCAGCCTAATCAATGCGTGCGCAAAAACACAAAGGCACGCAAAGCGTGAAGAAATTGGCAAGAATTGACTGATGCTCAGCTTCACCGCTCCCAATGTGAAAGATGTCTAACTTCAACTGCACCCAAAACTCATCGCAATTAAATACAAGTGTACTCTAAAACGTCTTCTGATTTTAAACTTTGCTATGGCTTATTTAGGCTCAAAACGTCCTGCGTGTAACATAGAATGGATGAGACGTGAACACTCTTAAAATGTGATACCCATATGCATAAGCGATTTGAAATGGATGGGTCTGGTATATCATTAGGTATAGGTACCATACGATAGTTGTGGTGGACGGATATGCCGCAATAGACTTCGATAAGACTATACCCTGAAGTTGAGAGACATGCAATGATTGGAGCACCGGTGTCGTAAACTCCACATGATTGCTCAGATAAGCGCATTTCTTAAACGTGAATTGGGGCAAATGGCCCCGTAAATCAAACTTAAATATCCTGAATCACAAGTTGCACGCGATGGTTGATATACACGTAAATAGCGCAAGGGCACAGAGTTTTTTAGACAAACGTCTTCTGTAAAGTATGCGCTATGCCGGACCGTGACAATAGTGTAGGCGTGCACCTTCTTCATATCAATGCACAAATAATCGATGCTAGTAATAAAACTGCGTGAAAATGCTATTTGAGAACACTAAATACCGTACTTGAGTGCGACATTAGAAGTTAGAAGTTGAGTACCTTGGTACCACATCCTCCCTATCTGTAACATTAAACATTTAGTACAATACACATTACCCAAATTTCAGAAAAAAATTACATCTGAACGTTTATTAATAAACACATAATCACACTACTTGGAAGCAATGAATATACATACCTGATCGCAGCATTGGGCGTGGAGTATCTGGATATATCAACATCTCTATCTGTAACATCGAACGTTTTTCGCACCGGTGATGACGCAGTTTCCGCTGATACACTAAGCACAGCCAGTGTGTTCGGTGCTGTTTCTCTTATTAAATCACTGTTAGTGTGGCTGATCTCCAGGGATACATCCTCCATATAGTCATCGTCCTCATCGGATACCATAGCCATGTTGACTAAGTTGTGTGTATGCGGGTATGCGTACGTAGATGTATAGGAATGGCTTCTTAATCGTGTACATGTGTCTGAATTTGCTTTTGCGAGTGAGCTTTTCCTACTGGTGTGTGAGTATGTGTGTGTCTTCACTGCACCTACAGGATCATGAACGCGCATGGGAAGGGTTTATACCGAACAGATGTCCGATTTGTCTAAAATATGTGCTATCGGTTGTTATTGCTGATGATCTGTGATTTTGTTTTTTATACTGAAGTTATAGGTACGAAGGGTTGATTGCAAGGCATTTCTACTTGTGTACGATTTTAAGAAGGTAATTACTGTTGTTGGCTATTAGTGATTATCTGCCTTATACTCGGTCACGAGAGATGGCGTTTGCAATGGGACATGGGTGCAAACGCTAATACTGATGATATGTATTTCTGCTTATTGTACTGAAGTGTTACGTAGGTATTGTCAACTAAAAGGTTTTACATTTATATAAGGTACAAGCACGTCGCGTATCAAGTATGTACGACTAAACGCCCCTCTAGCCTCATAGGCCGTGAACACATCTTAAATATATAAACTTGTGAACAAATGTGCGATGTGTACATGCCTCCATCAGTGCAATGACTTGGATCATTTTTTAAATTGTAGCAATAAAGCATCACTGTATTTGTATCCATTGGCCACTCATATCGGCTGGTAAATTCTTGGAGTAGTAGTAGCACACACAAGTTTGGAGTTTGGAGTTGACGCCAAATCAAAATATGAAAATCTGTAGCATTTATTTATTTTTTAAAGTACCTGTCACAATGTCGTACCTGATAGGCTGACGCTACATAATAAGAAATTTCTTTTGAAAATAAAAAGAGACAAACACTCAGAGTCTCAGAGTCTCAGACGCCCAGACCAATGAGACCAAAGCCTTCCGAGCTCTGTGTCTAATTTTAAATCTTCAGAAGGTTATGCCAGACTCTCAGACTCTCGGAGTCTTCAGAGTTCTCAGTGTGGTCATTGGTGATTAGTGTGTATTTATGTACTATGTGCTTTTAGGTCTCTTGTGTGTATGTACTTATCCATTAATATATTTATTTTTTTCATAGCCTTCTAAAAAATAAAAATTATATCCAGTATACAATTACAGATTTTTTCACAACAAAACCCCAAATAAAATTTAAATGTCAAATGTCAAACGTCAACAACAAGAGACTTGTTTTTTGGTTTTTTTCGGTTTTTTCGAAACAACACAATCACAAAACATAGCCTTCTTTGTGAAACTGTTTCAATTTTTTAAAATAGTAGAAGGCTATGCCGCTCTGGTGAAACACTAATAAATATAAACCTAACCGATGTATTTTCCCCATTTTGGCGGGCTCGTCTATATCATAAATTCAAACAGTTTTATGTGAATAGTATTTATTTTCAATACATATATATAGAGCGAGCAGGTCGGTAGGATAATAGCAAACAACGGAACGTATCGTCCGTGTGAAACGATTTAGGTTTCTATATACATAGTAATGCTCGACGAACTTGTATTTTCTCCGACATTACATATTATATATAACTGATTCTAATGCAACTCTGCTTTAAGGTTTACACCTATATAAGCACCTTAAACCGGAACACTGTCGTACGTTTCCTCAGCTATATAACACAAATTCACAGCCGCCTAAACCATGAATGACGATCAAATCGCTTGTTTACAGGCATACAGCGCTCTCAATAACAATGTACAAGAGGTGCGTAAGCTAGAAAAGCTATTGTAAGTTTTAGGATAGCTTGTGATTCTAAATTTTAGAGTCCACATTAATTTTTCTGAGTACGTGTATGAACCTTCTGGCACTGCCATTTGCATGCCTGTGTCTATCTTTCAATATACGTATTTAGTAAACGTATCATATATAGTACTTGATTATCTATCTGATAATGGTAGGCACCGACAGCTCGGTTCGGACCACTGGAGTCCATGAATTATGAGACAACATTTGAAACAGGGGATTCCTGTGAATATATACAAATACACTTTTCGTTGTGTAGCTATAAATGAATACTTCTACGAACGTGATCGCAAAGTTAGCAAAGATCGTGCTGCACTGAAAAGTATGTAAATTATACATCAGCTCGTTCGTAAATTCCTCGTAAATAGTTTATAAAGCTTATGCTGGACAACTGCAGGAGAATTTGGTAAACATCGATTCAGTTGCATGTTAATTGTATTGGTCCGCATTTATATTCATGTGCGAGGAAAGACACAAGTCGCGATTCTTTAGCAGATAAAATGTGAATCGCAACTACGACCACTTCCCAAGAGATCATGTAATGTTTTGGTAAAATGATGGCCGATCCGCATAGGCATTACATACTTATACCTCCATATGTGTATATATATGTATATATGTATATGTATATTAATATATATATATATATATATATATATATATATATATATATATATATATATGTATATTGTATATATATATGTGTGTGTGTGTGTATATATATGTAGTATATATATATATATATATAAGAGTGTGTGTGTATGTGTGTGTGCGTGTGTGTATGTATATGAGTGTGTGTGTGTATGTATGTATGAATGTATATGTATGTATATATAAATATATATATATATATATGTATGTATGTATATACATATATTTATATATATATATTGCTATAAATATGTATATATATGTGTGTGTTTGTGTGCGTGTGTGTGTAAATGGAATACAATTTAATCATATATCTGTAATTTCTTTTTTGCACTTTTATTGAGACTGAGTTCTAGCTTTGGTGCAATATACGTTGTGTTGTGTTATAGCACTTCTTTGTTTAGTTAGTGCAATTGCATTGAACTCAATATCTGCACCCCAATACAATCCTCAAGTGAGTTTGACGTATCTTTAATGTATATATTTTATCGCAACATTACTTACGCTTCAGTACTACCTATCCGCGCAAATGAGTCATAGTACCTCGGGCGCTGTTAAGACCATCGTCATGTCAGCTTCGCGTACGTACACCACTGAAGGTTGCATAGTATGGTTTAGTCATGTAATTCAACTCTGAATCGTATCAACGCTCTACTTTCTGCGTGTACAAAGTAGTCGCAGTGACTGTGTGTATCTCCCATAGTGCTGCCGTGTCTGTTTCTACGGTGGTTGTATGTCATACCTTCTCGGATAGAATGGATGGTTGCTGAGGACGTATCCGGGCCAATACGATACGCACACCTCCTCCTAACATGGAGACCTATTATATTGTGTGCCGTTATGGATATGCTTAGGTCTTAAGAGTGCCCCAAACAAGCCTAACACTAAATCAGTATTTCTGATTTGTTACATTATTTGGTTTCGATACAACTGTGGATGTGACCTGGTGTGATTGGCCCTGACTGTGAGACAGACACACACGAATTAAATCACCATCCGATTTCGGTCACTTTACTGACAGTTGGGTGGTACGATATCTGAGCTGAACCACACCGCAACTCTACTGAACGATCGCATGAGGGGACTGGAGCGAAGGCTACTAAAGATCTACACTCCGTTCAGGTCAAGTATATACGCATACAACAGCCTAGCTGAAGGTGGGTATAAACATTCCCACGAATTGGATTTTTGTGCTTTCATACTGGTGTGCTATTTATAGTGAATCGATTTGACGCTGCTACATTATAACGGTTGATTGTTTAGCTTGTACTTGGAGAAACACAATAACCTCCTGAAGGGGTGGGTTGTTGATAGCATAGACTTGGTAAGGAGTGAAGTGTACTTTGACTCAATAATATATATATATTGCAAGCTGTCCGCGACCAGGCGTTGGTCCTAATGTATCATCACGTGCTTGTTAGCGAATTCTTGCTCCTATACAAATCTAAGAATGTTTCAACTCAATGCGGACAAGCAATAATATATATATATATATATATATATGTATGTATGTATGTATGTATATATATGTATATGTATGTATATATATATATATATATATATATATATATGTATGTATGTATGTATATATACATGTGTGTGTGTGTGTACACGTGTGTGGGTGTGGTGGTGTGTGTGTGTGTGTGTGTATATATATATTTATATATTTGGCGTTCAAATCAAATTAACGTATACATTATAAAATCCTAACAGAGTGTGTTACATATACAGTGTTCTTACAGATATCGTCTACAATCAAGTATCACACCCTTCGTTCACAAGTTGTATGGTCACATCTACGCGTTATCAGTTTTCAATTTACTTTCTTTGTGACCCCATCTTCGATGCCGTTATTGTGCGATAGACTACCCACGCCCTAAGACATTGTGTAGAGACTTGTTTATCAGCGCATCTCGGCTTCAGTGCATGCATGCACAGCGATATGTCAACTGGTGGCATGCGCTGGTGGCATGCGCTCGTCTTGGCGTTTCCATGATGTATTTTTAACACGGCATCTGCATATTGACTTCTAGTGCACTTTCAGAACCGTTGGTTGAATACCATGACAAATTAATACTCTTATCACCGACCAAGGTGTATATTTTACCCCTCATCTTGTTTTACATTTTGCCGCAGCACTTGCTCCACATGCATTGTCCACAGACGTATCATTTCAAGCAGGTATTGAACGTTTTTAAAGTCTGTCTCTGTACGTACACCTCCTTCGAACTCTTCACATACCTTTCACTAACAAACTTATGCTGTGCACATCTGCGCAGATGAAGGGCAAACAGCCAGCAAACTCCCCGAAATTCGGACGTCACCCACGAGCACATTTGCTGCATTTGTCGCCACAGCCCCTACATCTGCATACACCCGTCACCACGATCAGCAGCCTAGCTCTGGAATGTTTTCCTCGAATTGTCCGCAGTTTTGAATAATTATTTTGATATTTAGACTAATAAATTCAAGATGGTATAAAGTTGCGGTATGTGAGTACCTTAACCGAATTTGGATATCAATGTTAATGTTTATTGCGTATTCTGTGATCCGCTACGTATACCGACAATGCGCTCACCCCTTGCTTCTGCATTTTCAATCTTGATATTGACGACTAGCATCTGGAGTCCAATCTCGACATTCTCCAAAACGAACTCACGTGGTTTTTCGAACAAAGAGTGGGGGTTTCTCAGCAACACTCCTGGACTCATCCTTTTGTCTCCATATATATATCCCCTGGCTATGAAGCTGAAACGATGCTCCAGTCGGTCCAATCTATGGAACGCAACTATAGATAAAGTCTTAAAACACTATTGTTCAAGTTACCGTCCATACAATACAAAAACTGCTTTAGGTATTTGATCTCAGCCGGCTGTACATAGAACACTATTGCTCCAGCACTTCGCAATCCTGTTTCTCGGATATACATATTTGAGTAAGTATTGCAATGCTACACCTAATTGCTAGAGGATTTCCAGCTAGGGCTTTACAGCAGCGCTTGATGGCCACATAATATCCTCATGCCCCGAAAGCTTTGTATGCTTGAATCCAGTCCAACACCCAACCCGGGATACCATTTGTGACTTTTAAAACACTATCGGATATACGTATGTACTCAAAGGTAGATGAATACCTGTATATAATCTAACTCAATGCGATCTTGATAAGTCTCATCTCATCATCGTTTAGCCCCAGATCCAGGGCTGCAGCGTGTGCGTCATCACTCATTTTCGACCACGTGCGCTGCAATACCGCCACAAGTTTATCGTCACTCAGCACTTCGCTTTTCATGAAGGGTTTCCAGTAGTACTTGAGAAACACCAAACAGGCCACATCCTCGACTATCTGGGCATCAACATCCCGATCCGAGGCATCCGCCGCTTTGATCCCCTTCTTGGAGAGAAGATATTGCACACGAGCACAATCGCTTTGTGCATACCCGCACACGTACATGATCTCGGCTGCGCGTGTGCCGTGGTACACGTACAGGTCACTGCGCCACTTCAGATACCCTAGCTTACCCGCTGGGTACGTTGTTCGAGGCGATGTCCACCGTTCGATGTGTTGTGCACGGCATGCAATCTGTACGAGGTCATTTGCGTCTGGCTTGAATGTTCCTTGCATTTCACTCATACGCTTGCCGTATAACAACTCCTTGGGCTCTCCCTCGTCTTCCCGAGGATCGCATGCGTTGGCGGCATCAATTGCAGCAAACGTACGCGACTTAGGGGATTTCGAAGTCAAATTGTTCAGTACAAGGGCACAAACATGTCGAGCGATGGATGTGCGTGACACTAGTACAGCCACAGGTACTAGGGCTAGTAAAGTCAGGGCTTTTCTCGTACTATCAGATACAACAAGACTCGACATGGTGTTTGAGCGTCGATTGCAGTATTGTGTCGACACGTGTATTTTAATGTCATTTTCGTATTAACATAGTGCATCTATATATGTAAATACTGGTGGTTCTGCTTCACACTTGACAGTTGACACTTGTGCCTGAGAGGCTGAGCCTGCCCCTGTAGAGATTAGTCATTAGAGACGCGACTCGACAGAGAGAGACGTCCTCGTAACAACTTCACAAATCACAACTCATAACTCAACAAGTCACAAGTCACAACTTTTTTTTTAAATTGGCTGACGTCAACAAGAAGGGATAAATAACTGACAACCAGTCGCAACTCGCAAGTCACATCAAGATGTGATGTCTACCAAATACATGCTGGCACTACTCACCTTTTAAAATACGTTTTACGTTTTAAACGTAAATGTACGTTTACGCTCCTCGTTTACTTCGTGATGGCCCTATTATTGTCGGTACGGGTGCATATTCAGAGCCCTATGGTTCAAAGATTTTGGAAATATTCCGTAGAGTATCCAGTACATATTCTTATTAGGTCTTTTTATTCGTCATTTGACCCGGATAAACGTTGAACCGGTCAAACGTCGAAAACATTAGCATTTTTAATACCATAAACGTTTTTAAAATTAAACCCTGTTTTTAAAAGGAATACATGATGACTCATCAGGTTTTGAAATAAATACAACAATATCTATGGCAAACCAAATTTGCTACACGACACCCTGACCATCTCAGAGAACGAACATGTCAACAAGTCCGTAGGACACGACATACGGAGTTATTCCGGTAAATCCGGAGTATCGACCTCTGAAAAATAAATACATACAAGATTTGCGACAAGTTGGCCTATAGGCGGTAAAGTATACCTCACGTAAAAACCTCGAAAAATTGAAAAACCACGTGACAAAACCATCGGTACAATTCATGTCGTAAAAAAAACCTACATCTTGCCACTGATCACTGATGCCAGCGCGATAAGTCCATGACTCCTTTGCGTTCGCGTCTATTTAGACGGCTCTGATAAGTCAATTTTTTTTAAAAGTGCCAACGAAATCTTTAGTACGTGCACTGTAATATATATGTACACAATTTTTATATTTTAGAAGTGAATATAATAGCTGGCTTTGAGGCCTTGGGTGTGTATTTACTGCTCATTCTAATTTAGTTGTACATACATACTATCCCTAAATAGTATTAACTTGTATGTACCATCACCATGCTCATTTTTCGCGGTATCCCTTTGACAGGTTTGCTTAGTGTGTTGTGCGCTATAGTCTCTGGTGTACCGTGGTCGCCCATATCGTACCCCAACCCAGTCGTAGAAGCTAAGGCATGCCATCGAATGCACACTCAGGGCACTTCTTATGTGTGTGACCCCGACGATATCCTCTCTGTAGAAGCCGCAGATAAAATAGAAGCTATATTCAACGCCATAGTGAAGGACACGACATCGCCGTGTCAGCTACCGAAAAAGGAGGGTGGTTACCAGGTCGCCTTAGCGTTAATGAACTCGTTTGAAACGGATGCGACAGTTCCTATGGAAACCAATGCGGGACGCATGGCAAGAGGATTACATGATAAGTGGGGTGTGGGACACCACAACTGTCACGACGGTGTGCTGGTGATGGTTTCGGTATCACAGAGACAGGTGTATATATCTACGGGCGAGGCAGCAGGCGCTATTCTCTCATCTGACAGAATAAGCTGGGTCACCGAGCGTATGAAGGGTCATATGCGCGCGCACGAGTATGATGAGGCATTGATCCGTGTGGCCTCGGATATATACCATATCCTTACTAATGATGATATCATACATGGTGCGTATGATTCGTTAGTAACACATCTGTTGTACTTATTTTTTGTGGGTTTTTTCTTGAAGATCGTACACTCTATTTACATGAAGAGACGCGGAACCGCTAGATTTGCCGAATGCAAAGCAAAACTGATCAAGATCGACAGACTCAAGCAGAAGGCCAGTCAAAAGGGATCAACTGACGGTATCACTACACCAAGTATATGCCCCATCTGCTTAGAAGATTTGAATAGTTCACAAGATGACAGTACCGACGAGGCAGAGGATATATCAAAGAATAACGTAAGCAGCGATGGAAGTGATAGAAGTGATAGCGTGCGGTTGCTGAGCCGAAACAACGGGGCAGCACATAGTAAGCAGCACAGTGGCGATTTTAAAGGAAGTGGTCGACCCTCTGCAGCACTACCCAACTGTAACCACGAGTTCTGTGTGGACTGTATTGAGCGGTGGCTGCAGGAGCAGAGCTCGCAGGGTAAGGAAATGACCTGTCCACTGTGCCGATCAAGCATAGACCACGACAACAGAAGCGGTAGTAGCGCAGCTGCTACAAACAACTATAATCATAGCAATAACAATTATGAAACGTATACACGCACGGACTACGCTGGAACATACGTACCTGACGAGGGTACTACTGGATCGTCCGGGGCGCGTGTGGCGCTTGCTAGCATGTCTTTAATGTTCATGCTGGGTAGTCTGCAGAGTCAGTATCCCGAGTTTGTGGACGATGAAATGCGTAGTGAGTGGGAGAGAGAACCTCTCTCGCACAGAAGTTACCACGATCGGTTAGAGGCGAGAAACCCAGCCCGTGCACAGGATGCGGTGCGCACGGACTTTGGGTCGGCTAGTGGTAGTGTGCACACGTCGTTCGGTGGCGGTAGTTCTAGTGGCGGTGGCGGTAACAGCTGGTAGGTTGTACTGATAGATATTAATGGGACACTTTGTTTACTGTAGTAGTAGCACGCGAAAGCGAGCTCATGAATAGGATGAGGTACACACGCACTTTGTGTCGGCTAGTGATAGTGTGTACGCGGCCTAGGATGACGGCGGCGGTAGCGGTAACAGTTGGTAGATGGTTGTACTGACGGTGCTATGCGTAGTCAATGGCAAATTTTAATGGCAGCTGTAGTGCCATCCCATGAACGGCTTACACGTGTGATGTGCGCAAACTTTCAGTCGACCCGCGATGAAGTGCACACGTCCTCCGGTGGCGGTAGATTTAATAGGGGTGACGATAAGTAGCTGGTAGGTTCGACCATTGACATAAAAGACAACACCCCGTGATTGTTTTATGATCATAGCTGTTATTTGCTGGTAGGTAGTGTAATGTCACCGACGGTACTATACACAAGGTACTATACGTACTGGCGGAGGCGGCTGGGTTTTGCAATCGCGGTCATGGTCATGCTTACATAGTAGTCCTTGACTGACCTGACTGGTGCAGGATATATGCGTTGTTGAGTAGTTCTAATGCCTCTGGCAACTTCGACTGGGTTGAAGCGACTTTTATTGGGTGTACTGACAAGTGCTATGTAGCCCGTAGTGTTACTGGCGGTGGTATATAGCAGCATACGCCACAGCATCCTACTTTTGTATACCCTGATTCCAACAAGAGGGGATGTTATCAATAGTGGGTAGTTCTACTGGCGGTGGCGATCTTGTATGGTTACTGGGTAGGACTGGTAGCCGGATTACGTCTTGGGGAACGGGGTGCGCGCAGACCTTATCCCAACCACGAGTGATGCACGCACATCTATTACCGCCGGTAGGTCTAGTGACGGTGGCGGAAACATGTGCCAAGACCCAGTGCCTGTAGCAGTAGAATAGCCCCTTTTCGACGATCACTTCGCATCTGAAGCCTGGCATTCAGGCGTTGAATCTCCCAACTATTAGAGCGTAAGTATGTGATCACTAAAATTAGGAGCCGATGTAGTACCGACAGTTGGGGTAAGGGTAAGTAGTGTACTATAGCAAGGCGAATTGATTATAGGGCTGATTTACACGTATTAAGACAGTGATGATATGGCTGTAAATTCATGGTTGACTGGGGTGCCAAAATGGGCAACTCTGCCATCTTGTTCATAATAAAATCACAGACCTGGCTTATGGCTGCAGGATATTCCAAAAAAAAATTGACCAACAGACCCGAATCCATTAAATCCCATTTAAGAGTGTTCACAAGGTTTGCGCAAACACGCGTGACGGTTGCTGCTTTGGCCTGTACGGAAGATAACCCTAAACCCTAAAATCTTCACACTTTTAGAACAACTTGATACAACAAACGGAAGTCAGACTAGTGGCTCCACGGAAGAGACGAATTGAGCTATCTGGTCTCGGTCGCTTCGGTGGCGTGAATAGTGTTCCGCTGAGGTTTGTACAGGGCATCCTTATAGATTGGTTACTGGAGATAGCGGTATAACGTATTAGCTCGCGAATCAATTGGAGCAATAAAATAGGACATTGACCAATATATATCACTATGTTGGCCTATACATATTCATTTTGCTTAAGTATATACTTCCCCGTAGTCTATATTGGAGTTTGTGTGGAGTTGAGTTTATGTTTACCCGCGCCACAGCCGTAGTCGGGGGACAGGAGAGCGGTTGAAACATCACAACCTGTGGAGAGTGTGTCTGATCTATTGTCTGACACTAAATCTTAAACTAAATTGTGGTCTTCGCGCCCCAATGTGTGCTATTATTCAGAATAGGTGCATCGTACTATCGGCCCACAAAATGGCATAAGTGGAGCCTAAATTTTTGCACAGATCAAAATATATCTTTTTGTGGTCGGAGGCTTGCATATTTGACCGAAATCATTCCCAAAAGTCATTTTATATACTCCACTCGCCCAATCAACTGCAACATCAGCCCATAATATTTTACATGAGACTCTCTAATCACTTTCCCGTGTCGGACTCTGGACACCCCAGCCGCCAGCCTAAATCACACCTGACATATCTACATCACACCGCCATCTGGAATCTCAGCCTAATTTAATCTAAAATATCAGCAGATAAACTCGTATCACATATCCTCGTCGGCAACCTCGATCAGTCCCTCCTCCTCGCTTGGCTGCACAGGGGTGATATTGGTGGCCGTCCCAGTGTTGGGGTCGTATACCATGTTCACATCGTAGCTGCTGTACTCTGCGCACCTGTAGAGAGGGTCCTTCAAGTTGTATGTCCCCGTAGTCTCGGGTTTCTGTGCTATCCTCGTTTCTGGGTGATTCAGGGGTTTAGAGGTTGCATGTTAGCGAATGCCACCTAGGTTTAGGGTTTGGTGTATGTATCGTATTAACGTTACGCATGTTGAGGTCATAGTCCATTGTAAGCAATGATGTTCTTAATCATGGGTGCGTAGGTGTAATTTTCTAGACTACATGGTGAGGTGCTTTCTGTCCACGAAAGTGTCCGGGACGATCGTCTCGCCCTGTTTCGAAACTATCTATCGACCAGACTGTTGGTCCTACCTGTGAACTTTCATTATGAAGAACAACTCTTAGAAACTAT